GAGACAAATGGATTTGGCTGCTCAATGGGAGAAGGAAGAGGATCCGCTCCCGACTCTACTCCGAACTTTAAAGGTGCTAGCCAAGGTCCCAAAACCAGGAATGGCCAGTTTGAGGTTCGGAGTGAAATTGGGAAGGGATTCGTCTGCTTTCCGACACGGAAAAGCGGGCGAGATCGGTGCCAACAAGCGGACAGATGTTCACCTGGAACAGATTACCGGCGTTTCTAGAGAGAGAAAATCCTTCCCTGTTCATTCCCTGAAGCTTAGAGATCCGTCTGGATTCAGAGCCGGGAGGTTTCCAATTTCGTGCGACATCCGGATCTGCAAAATCCATACAATTCTGAGAAAAGTCCTTTTGAGATGGGTAGCAAGGGCAAATCTGGGCTTGGCCGGCACCCAGGCATTTCCTTTGGCAATAATAGATTTCTTCCTGGGGAGCAATGCAAGGACTGAACAGGGCGGAACTGCACAGACTCCAGAGAGAGGAAACTATAATTCCCCCCAAGTGGAAAGCTGAATTTTATCCCCTTCAAGACTCTGGCACTGGGAGTTTCTCTCTCTAAACGCCAAACGGATCCAGCTTGTTGTTGCTGCTGCAAAATATCCATCGACCCAACTGACTTATGGTGACCCTCTTGAGTGAGAAAGCTCTGCAAGACTGAAGGCCATCCTATTTATTGACCGCTCAGGTCTTGCAAAGCCAAGCCAAGGCCTCCTTAATGGGGTCCATTTAATGCAACCTGCCTATTTTCCATCTGACTTTCCTAAAGTGTCCTGCGAGATGTCCCAAGTGTGATATCTCTTCCACAAATCCTAGAATCAAAGAGTTGGAAGAGACCTCATGGGCCATCCAGTCCAACCCCATTCTGCCAAGAAGCAGGAATATTGCATTCAAATCACCCCCGACAGATGGCCATCCAGCCTCTGTTTAAAAGCTTCCAAAGAAGGAGCCTCCACCACACTCCGGGGCAGAGAGTTCCACTGCTGAACGGCTCTCACAGTCAGGAAGTTCTTCCTCATGTTCAGATGGAATCTCCTTTCTTGGAGTTTGAAGCCATTGTTCCGTCCTAGTCTCCAGGGAAGCAGAAAACAAGCTTGCTCCCTCCTCCCTGTGACTTCCTCTCACATATTTATACATGGCTATCATGTCTCGTCTCAGCCTTCTCTTCTTCAGGCTAAACATGCCCAGCTCCTTAAGCCGCTCCTCATAGGGCTTGTTCTCCAGACCCTTGATCATTTTAGTCGCCCTCCTCTGGACACATTCCAGCTTGTCAATCTCTCTCTTGAATTGTGGTGCCCAGAATTGGACACAATATTCCAGGTGTGGTCTAACCAAAGCAGAATAGAGGGGTAGCATTACTTCCTTAGATCTAGACACTATGCTCCTTTGATGCAGGCCAAAATCCCATTGGCTTTTTTTGCCGCCACATCACATTCCTGGCTCATGTTTAACTTGTTGTCCACGAGGACTCCAAGATCTTTTTCACACGTACTGCTCTCGAGCCAGGCATTGTCCCCCATTCTGTCTCTTTGCATTTCGTTTTTTCCTGCCAAAGTGGAGTATCTTGCATTTGTCACTGTTGAACTTCAACAGTGACAAATGCAAGATACTCTCATCTGGACCTCAATCTGGAGGAGAATCCATACAACCCAATGGATCCTTCAGGGATTCTGGTTTCCTATTTTGATTTCCCATTGGACCCAAGGCTTGTTTACTTTGTGGGTTGCCTTGGAAGAGAATCCAGCCCCAGATTGCAACGTTTTCCTAACAAAAACAGTACGAAACGTGTCCCTAAAATGCACTAACAGGGTGAGAAAGTCAGAGGAGAGAGGGATGTGTGTGTTTTGGGGATACAGAGAGAAACAAAAGCCAAGCACCCCCAGTTCCTGAATGCTGGGTTGCAGATTTGAGTCCAAATATTTGCAGAATGGGTCTCGTTAGAATCTCAAAATGCATCACTCCTTCCTTTCGGTTGGAAATGGAAGTGGATGGGGTGCTGTTGGTTGTGGGAAGGGGCACCAGAAGGTCATCTAGCCCAATGGTAGAACCCAGGTTGTGGGAAGGGGCACCAGAAGGTCATCTAGCCCAATGGTAGAGCCCAGGTTGTGGGAAGGGGCACCAGAAGGTCATCTAGCCCAATGGTAGAGCCCAGGTTGTGGGAAGGGGCACCAGAAGGTCATCTAGCCCAATGGTAGAGCCCAGGTTGTGGGAAGGGGCACCAGAAGGTCATCTAGCCCAATGGTAGAGCCCAGGTTGTGGGAAGGGGCACCAGAAGGTCATCTAGCCCAATGGTAGAGCCCAGGTTGTGGGAAGGGGCACCAGAAGGTCATCTAGCCCAATGGTAGAGCCCAGGTTGTGGGAAGGGGCACCAGAAGGTCATCTAGCCCAATGGTAGAGCCCAGGTTGTGGGAAGGGGCACCAGAAGGTCATCTAGCCCAATGGTAGAACCCAGGTTGTGGGAAGGGGCACCAGAAGGTCATCTAGCCCAATGGTAGAACCCAGGTTGTGGGAAGGGGCACCAGAAGGTCATCTAGCCCAATGGTAGAACCCAGGTTGTGGGAAGGGGCACCAGAAGGTCATCTAGCCCAATGGTAGAGCCCAGGTTGTGGGAAGGGGCACCAGAAGGTCATCTAGCCCAATGGTAGAGCCCAGGTTGTGGGAAGGGGCACCAGAAGGTCATCTAGCCCAATGGTAGAGGCCCATCGTTGACAAAGTGGCTAGGTTTTGGAAATACCTTCAACATCTACTCTGAGGATGGATACCAAGTTTGGAATTAATGCCTTTTAGGAGCTGGGAACTTCCTGGCTGCAAAATATCTCCCACCACACCCTGACTTTGTTGCGCTTTCTGTGGCTTCAAAGGAAGGCAATGGCGTACCTTCTTGGCGTAGGGTCAGGAACGACTCGAGGCACACAACTAAAGTGTAGATCAGGCATGGGCCAACTCTCCAGGTGTTGTGGACTTCAACTCCCACCATTCCTAACAGCCTACTGGAGTTGAAGTCCAAAACACCTGGAGAGCCCAAAACACCTGGAGTCCAAAACACCTGGAGAGAGGGCCGAAGTTGGCCCATGCCTGCTCAAGGGCGATGACTCCTCTCAGACCAAACCTAGACAGGCATCCTCCTCTGTTCAGGTCAACATCTCCTCTCTGCTCAGCCCAGCCTTGGAAGAGAGTAGCTGCTGAATCCCTTTCCCCAGAGCAACAACATTGTGGCTACACTCAGCCCTGGAAGGAGAGTCCATGGGATAGCCCACCTCCAGCGCTTAAGTCAACCCTTCTTCTCAGGAGGGTTGGAGCAAGAGGAAGCCCATCTGTGCTTGGGACAACATCTTTTCTCAGCCCAGCCTTGGAAGAGAGTGGCTGCTGAATCCCTTTCCCCAGAGCAACAACATTGTGGCTACACTCAGCCCTGGAAGGAGAGGCCATGAGGAAGTCCACCTCCAGCGCTTAGGTCAACCTTTCTTCTCAGGAGGGTTGGAACAAGGGAAGGCCCATCTGTGCCTGGGACAACATCCTTTCTCGGCCCAGCCTTGGAAGAGAGTGGCTGCTGAAGCCCTGGAAGGAGAGGCCATGGGGCAGCCCACCTCCAGCATTTAGGTCAACCCTTCTTCTCAGGAAGGTTGGAGCAAGAGGAAGCCCATCTGTGCCTGGAACAACATCCTTTCTCGGCCCAGCCTTGGAAGAGAGTGGCTGCTGAATCCCGTTTCCCCAGAGCAACAAAATCGTGGCTACACTCATCCATGGAAGGAGATTCCATGGATAGCCCACCTCCAGAACTTAGGTCAACCTTTCTTCTCAGGAGGGTCGGAACAAGGGAAGGCCCATCCGTGCCTGGGACAACATCCTTTTTCAGCCCAGCCTTGGAAGAGAGTAGCTGCTTAATCCCATTTCCCCAGAGCAACAACATTGTGGCTACACTCAGCCCTGGAAAGAGAGTCCATGGGGAAGCCCACATCCATGGGGAAGCCCACCTCCGCCTCTCATTCCAGGGCTGTGTGTAGCCACAATGTTGTTGCTCTGGGGAAAGGGTTGGAGCAAGAGGAAGCCCATCTGTGCCTGGGACAACATCCTTTCTCAGTCTCAGCATTGGAAGGGATGAGGCAGTCGAACTTCAGTGTCTGCAGCAATGTCCTTCCTGAATCCCTGGAAGGAACGGAGCATGGAGTAGCCAAACTCCAGTGTCCAGGAGCCCAAAGTAACGTCCCTGGAAGGAACAGAGCATGGAGTAGCCAAACTCCAGAGTCCAGGAGCCCAAGGTAGCGTCCCTGGAAGGAACGGAGCATGGAGTAGCCAAACTCCAGAGTCCAGGAGCCCAAGGTTGCGTCCCTGGAAGGAACGGAGCATGGAGTAGCCAAACTCCAGTGTCCAGGAGCCCAAGGTTGCGTCCCTGGAAGGAACGGAGCATGAAGGAGCCAAACTCCAGAATCTGAGACCTGGAAGGAATGGAGCAGCCCACCTCCAAAGCCTTGGACAACACTCTCAGAGCAGAGGATGGAACACGGAGCAGCCAAACGCCAGTGTCCGGGGTGATGTCCTTCCTGTATCCAGGGCAGTGTCCATCCTCAGCCTAGCCCTGGAATGGATGGAGCGCAGAACAGTTGAACACCAGTGTCCGGGGTGATGTCCTTCTTTTGTCCAGGGCAGTGTCCATCCTCAGCCTAGCCCTGGAATGGATGGAGCGCGGAGCAGTCGAACACCAGTGTCCGGGGTGATGTCCTTCCTGTGTCCAGGGCAGTGTCCATCCTCAGCCTAGCCCTGGAATGGATGGAGCGCAGAGCAGTCGAACGCCAGTGTCCGGAGTGATGTCCTTCTTTTGTCCAGGGCAGTGTCCATCCTCAGCCTAGCCCTGGAATGGATGGAGCGCGGAGCAAGCCACCTCCAGTGTCCAGGTCAACATTCCCTTTGGGCAAAGAACAGCAGCTTGAATGCGTGTCCGGGGTGATGTCCTTCCTGTGTCCAGGGCAGTGTCCATCCTCAACCTAGCCCTATAATGGATGGAGTGCGGAGCAGTCCGTCTCCAGTGTCCAGGTCGACATTCCCTTTGGGAAAGTGAATCCCCCAATTTCCGATGCCATAATCATATTCCCTCCTTGGGACGTTGCCGCCAGCAAGAAGCCGCGGCTAGCTCCATCCTCAGAGGTCCCCAGAGCCTACTCTCCGTGGGTCGCTGTCCTGCTCGTAGCGGTAGTGGTACCCCTCCATCTGGTCCCGGCATGCCTCGCGCAGGTTGTTGAGCCAGCGCTTGATGCCCCTGCGGTTGAGGTAGAGCACCATGAGGAAGACCAAGCCGATGAGGGCCAGGACGATGCCGAAGAAGACGTAGGAGGCCGTCTCCAGCTGCGGGTCGGGCGCCTCCCTGCTAGTGTCCAGCAGCCCCCACCCTCTGGCCTCTTCTTCGTCGTCGTCCTCGTCCGGGGGGCACCCCAACTGGGCAGGCCGCAGTCTCCGCAGAAGGGAGTCCTTGAGCCGGGCGGGGCTGTTGCAGCGCAGGTTGCGGGCGTCGGCGACGCGCCAGGTGGCATTGCTCTGCCAGCGCAGGAGTGGCCGCAGGGAGGCGCACTGGCAGTCCAGCGGGTTGGCGGTCAGCTGGAGCCTCAGGGACGGCAAGGGCAGGAAGGAGTCCAGCCGTTGCGCCTTGACACCCCGGAGGGAGTTGTTGCGCAAGTCCAAGTCGCGCAAGGACGGCGGCAATGTCCAGCCGGGGGGAGCATCGCGGAGGCGGTTGCCCCTCAGCTCCAGCCGGGTCAAGCTCAGGTTGGTCAAGCTGCCTTCCTGGAGGAGAGTGTCCGGCGAGGAGAGCAGGGCGTGGTTGAGCCGCAGGAGGCGCAGGTGCGGGCAGAAAGCAAAGGCCGAAACGGACAAGGACTGGAGGGGGTTGTGGCTCAAGTCCAGCACCGACAAGGAGGGCAGTCCGGCAAAGGCGCCCCCCTCCACCACCTCCACCTTGTTGTGGGTCAAGAGGAGCACCCGCAGGTGGGGCAGAGGGTGGCGTGGGGCGCAGGAGGAGGACACATCTTCGTCACCTGTCCATTCTCCGTCGTCTTCTCCTCGCCATCCTCCGGCAAAGGCGGCTCCGGGGAGCAAGGTGAGGTTCCCGCCCAGGATGGAGAGGTTGCGCACCTGTTCCGGGAGACCCTGGGGTGGGGCGTGGAGCGCCAGGTAGCGGCACTGGTCAGTGTCCGGAGTGGAGAAGCAGAAGCAGGGCGCAGACGGGCAGGCGGCGGGGGGCGAGGCCGGGCACACCCCGCGAAGGAGGAGAAGCAGCACCTCCGCCAGCAGCACCGCACCCCCAGCACCTGGGGCAGGACCAGGAAGAAGGGCAGGAGGAGGTGGAGCAGCCGGGAGAAGAGCAGCAGGAGGAAGAGGAGGAAGAAGAGCAGCAGGACCAGCCGGGTCCAGGGCACGGCGCTGCGGCCGGCGGGCCATCCCTAGCCCACGAGGGGCATCCCCGCAGGGAAGGAGAAGCAGGGAGGGAAGGAAGGAAGAGAACACGCCCACTCCTCCTCCTCCACTATTTCATCCCCCTTCCTCCTTCTCTTCCTCTTCTTTCCTCAGCCTCTTTTCTTCTCCTTCTCCCTCCTCTCTTCCGTCTCCTCCTCTCCTTTTCTCCTCCACTAATTCCTCTCCCTTCTTCTTTCCCCCTTCTCCCTCCTCTTATCCTCTTCTTCCTTCTCTTCCTCTTCTTTCCTCAGCCTCTTTTCTTCTCCTTCTCTCCTCCT